CTAATGATTGCAATGAGTATATAGATAATTTTTCCTGATATTGTAATATTAAACCATACGCGAACTACCTTGTTCGTTAAGTCAACTATCCTACTAATTATGGTGCTTAGGAGCATCTAAATCAGTGCTCACAATGTTTTTTGTCTGCAATGATACTTATCGTGCCAATACATTTGCTAACACAACTGACTAATGTTACTTTCCCCGGTCTATGGGAAATAACCTATGGTCCGTAATAGTACTACAACTACCGAGGTGCCTTCACATTAGACACATATCATGCAATCATCACGTGCTCATCGTTTTTCCTTTAAGTATGTATATTACTCGTATGAACATGGTCCACAATTTGCTCCTTGCATTCAACAATGATATGAATTATTTATCGCTTCAAATGAACAGGTGTTAGTGTTTTTAATTAACTTTATGAACTTGAATTGTAGTCTATCACCATGCTGAGTTTCAACTTTAGCTTCTACATTTTTTTTTTGCCTTAAACCACTAGTACCTCCACCAATGTTGAAAAAATAGAGAAAACTGACACTGTTACCAAAATCCAAAAAAATTGGAGGTTGGGTCCGATACAAGCTGCCATTGATAAATTTGATCAACGATCGTCGTTTCGTTTCGACCTCCTAAAAGTCGAAGGCACACCCAAAAACCTCTATTTTTCCATTAGCCAAAAGTACTAGTGGTTTAAGCAATCGACTTTTCTGTTGCGAACTCTCACTTAACTTATTTTATCTTGTTGAATACCAATATATATTTCACGTATCGTTTTTCTGCTTAAGCTATTTTTTTTCCAATGTGGAAACTCTCGCGATGGTTTGTTGGTATATGGGTTTTCATGTTCTCTACAGGCATGCCATGTTACTAATGTTGTCTTCTCCCGCCTTACATTATGCGCATATCCTGTCAATAGTTTATTGATGTAACCCAAAGAGAAGGTTTACAGACGTCTTCCATTTTCATATCATTTAGATGGGGGGACCTGAAACCACTTTCAGAAGCTTCAAACACTTCATTTTTTTTCAAAGGTTTTAGATCCCTACTCAAAACTTTTAACATGACCTGAAGCTGTCTCTTATACACATCTAGATGTGTATAAGAGACAGCTCTACAGGCATGCCATGTTACTAATGTTGTCTTCTCCCGCCTTACATTATGCGCATATCCTGTCAATAGTTTATTGATGTAACCCAAAGAGAAGGTTTACAGACGTCTTCCATTTTCATATCATTTAGATGGGGGGACCTGAAACCACTTTCAGAAGCTTCAAACACTTCATTTTTTTTCAAAGGTTTTAGATCCCTACTCAAAACTTTTAACATGACCTGAAGTGGCTGAAGCTTCTAAAATCGGTTTCAGGTCCCCCCATCCAAGCATTTGGATGGGGGTTGGATAGGGGGGGACTACTTTCAGAAGTTTCAACAATTTCATGTTATTTACGCGGTTTCATATTTCCCAGTTGAAACTCATGGGGTGAAACTACTTTCAGAAGTCTCAACCATTTCATGTCATTCAAGATATTTTATATTTTTCAGTTGAAACTCATGAAATGAATTGAAGTGGTGGAAGTTTTTTGAAGTAGTTTTAAGTTGCCTTATCCAAGCATTTCGATGGGGAAACTTAAAACCTCTTTCAGAAACTTCAACCAATTCATGTCATTTCAAAAATTTCATGTCAGCCCAACTGAAACTCACGAAATAAAATGAAGTGATTGAAAATATGAAAGTGATTTTAAATGCCCCTATACAACAATTTTGATGAGGGAGACCTGCAACCTCTTTCATATGTTGTAGCTAATTTGGACAATTTCATAGGATTTAGGTCTTCCAACCTGAAACTTTTGAAATGACATGAAGTGGCACACAAAAACGTTGAACCAAAAACAAAAACATGTAAAAAATATATATCCAACAATAGAATGTATGGCGCCAAACCACTTGAAACTACCGAAATGACATGAAGTGTCTTCATACAATTTCAACTATTTCAGACCTCTGCTAACAAACTCATAATCTTTCATTCTAAATTTTTAGCAGGTCATTAACCACTCGTGGTAACCCAACAAGGTTCTTTTGTGTCAGAGTAACATGCTTCTCACCCAATTTCATGTCATTTTCCCTTGCATAAGTGAAGTGACACCCCTTATGTTGTTTCCCTATGTGCATTGTCATTGTCTAACCTCGATGAATTATTTTATCAAGCTTGAATATAGTTAGTTTCGTCATTATTTGCTATAATTATTGTACTGCCTTATGAGCATTTGGTATTGACGCTTTGTATGGTTGACTTTTTTTTTTTTCACGATATAATATTTGTTATTGTTTTACTTTGATCATCAACATAAAAATTTCTCAAAATTAAATAATAATTCTGTAGTAAAATTACATTCTAAATTTAAATTTTTTATTTTATCTTAAAAAATGTTATTCAAATTTTAAATTTTTTTGCCTTACTTGAAAACTTTTATTCCAAGAATAAGGTATCCCTTCTTATTTCAACTGCATGCTAGAGTTGAAATGAAAGTATGGATGGGTTCACAAAGTATTTGAATTGGACTGTCATTCTATGTAATAATTTTAGTCATAAATAGGTTAATCCAATATAAATTATACGATATTTTTTATAGTAGAATGAACGTTTAATTAAAACATTTCATAAACTCGTTCAGACTTTCATTCCATTTTGAACAAATAAATGTATTTGAAAGGGAAAACTCATATTTAGACAGGAACTTATCAAATAAAACTGGAAATTTTAAAATTGGACGAGTATTGGAATAATAATATATAAATATGAAAGATTTTCTTTTTATGAAATATTTTTTTAACTTTAATTTTCGTGGGATTTTTTTTTTTTTTATGACTTTGAGTTGTTTCGTAGCATGACATTCATCACATCGTTACTCAATGTGTATGATTTGTGAGTCTTATATCGATTTCATACACCAATACCCGTACGAGGGTACATGGACTTGTGTAGTACATTGTTTAGGACATTCAATCTTACCACTATTATGATATGCAATTTTATTTTTAGTTGCACTTATGTATGTAGTTTCAATTTTTTTTTACCAACAGATGCAACTATTTTTACTTTTTTTTTTTTTTTTTTTTTTTTTTTTTTTATTGAAATATGTTGGGATCTATGATTTTTTTTTTTTTTTTTTTTTTTTGGGGGGGGGGGGGGGGGGGGGGGGGGGGGGTAACTATGACACAATTACGAAAATAGTTTGAAAATGCACTTAAGGCATTCCCCCAAACATAACACACCCGCAAGTGACCCTACCGAACCCGAAATCTAGCTTATATACACTCACCGTTTTCAGGTTTTTTCAAGTTGCCTGGAGTGCCTTTTCAAACTCAAACTCTGATTGCAGGGTAGTTTTTTTTTTCTTTTTTTTTATAGGGATAACTATGGCATTGTCACGAAAACAATTTAAAAATACACTTTAGGCATTCCCCTGAACATAACACCCCCCCACATGACCATACCAAACCTAAAACCTTGCTTGTATACATTCCATATTTTCAATTTTTTTGCCCGAGGTGCATTGTCAAACTCAAACCTTGACTGCATCGCAATTGCTTTGATTCGCTTTGTGCTTTTCTGCTATTTTGCATCTCATGTCTATTTGCATGAAGCTCGTTACATTTGGCTTTTTTTCCTTGATTGTGTGGGGCGTTGCCGACTTCTGCTATGGCGGATAGCAAGTTTTTAGCCTTCACTCTCGAGTATTGTACAACAATACCCCTTGCTTGACTGACGCTCAGTCCGCTCGCTAGAGCAGATGCTTCACTTTTCTTTTTTATTATAAAAATTTGCACCATTTCTTGATTTATGTATGTCATCCTTGCGCAGGGTCATGCGAATCTTCTCTGTATCGTTCCAATTTTAATGGATGTCCTGAAGGACTGATGCTTCACGTCTGATCTATTGCCGAAGTCGCCTGGTTCAGGGTGCTGAAGTCGCCCCCCAAAATCACCTGGTTGAATCCTGTCTGTGCGAGAGGTGCCTGGTTTAGGTACTCTTTATGGCTTTTAATCCTACCGTGTAGACCATCATCGCCTGATGCCCCATACATTCAGGGTATCTGATCCATGGTGCCTGCCCCTAGAGGCATACACCTGTCTCAGGCTGTGCTTCACGTTGTTCAAATTTTAGTTCAACCGCTGCCTTCATGTCGTGCTCGTTGTCCCTGCCAGTCTGTCTAGTCCACAATGTGTTTCACTATCCTCATCCAACATTCAAGCAAGACCTCACGAGGGAGGGATTCTGCTTCAGTTTCGGCCTGTCCGTTGCCGTGCAGGCCTTGACCGCTCTCTCTCCTAGCATAGCTCAGTCTGCCTGACGTAAACAATGACGGAGGTATGTTGAATTGAAAGGCTGCTACCCGGCAGCCGTTTACCCCTTTCGCTCCTACGGCAGCATAGGTCACTCAGCGTCGAACATGAACAGGAGGTACATCAAAAGGTTCGGTTCAAATGAACACCCTTTTGTTCGTGCACGCGGGAAGCGGAATCGCGTGCAGTGTCTCCTGCACGCTGTGTGCGGAGGCCGCCGTGCATAATAAGGGCTCACGTGGCACAGGGGAGCATATATTATTAATTTATTATTATTATTACATTATATGTGCACACTTGCGCGTCGGGTCTTTTCGCAGAGCAAGAGCCAATGGGCATGTAGACACGGTGGCATGGGGACAGCCAAGGAATCGAAGGGTGCTTCGTTTCTTCCTGATTTCCCTTTCCGTGCCTCTTTCTATCATTTTCCTACGGTCGGTCGCACTGTTTCCCTGGGAGAAAACTTGGCCGCAGAATGGTCCTGGTTTGGCATGGTGTTGGGCTTACTTACGGTTGCATATTCGGGCTCTGATTACTGCATGCCCCTGTTTGAGTGTGACCGGAGGAACCGTCGGCATTTTCTGGCGGGAACACTTGAGAATCGTGCAGCCTATTCGGAGGGTTTTCGTACGTTGCCGCCGCCGGTGGAATGCGGCGTAGTCCGCCCAGCCCCCGCATGCGCGTATGATTCGGCGAATGACTTCAACTTCGTGCGATTTCGCTCGCTCGCCCGCTGTGAGCGCTACCGGTAGGCCTGCCGGCGGGGTTTTGCAAGGCCGAGCGTGACGCGCGTTCTTCTTGTCTGTTCGTCTGTATTACGGTGTATGTTTGGGGTTTCGGCCATCGCCTCTTTTCTTCCATGGTGGTGGCGCATCTCCACCCTTTTCTCCTTTCTTCACGTATGTTCCCGACTGACGCACACACGGCGCTTTCATCGTAAACCATCATTGTCGTCACACGTATACAAGCAAAAGCTCCTCCCTTTCGCCGCAGTGAAGCGAGAACGAGCACTCTCGCCCGTCGTCTGGGCAAACGGCCACTCTCTACATCCGGCGCACTAGCACGCTTCCTTCCTTTCTTCTGTCGTGCGGAGCGAACGGGCAGTTGCGCATCGTTGTGGTCCCTGATGCCGATTTGTGCCCAGCGTTGTGTTACATTTGCCGTCTTGTAGGTCGAACTTGCTCATCAGTAAACGGAGAGCAGAGCGGTGCAGAGTGGGAGCGGCAACGATCGATCGTTTAAAGTGAGGGCAGGTAGAAACAGCGGTGGGCATTAGGGAAGAGAGAGGAACAAGCTGCTTATTTTGTTGGCTGTTTGAAGCGATGGAGGCTCCAGAGGCGAACGCTATGCCGATATCCGCTCTTGCAAACGATATTTCCGATCATATGAAGGGCATTCTGTTGTCGGATCTTGCAAATTCGGCTTCGCCGGTGTCGGATCTTGCAGATGCGGCTTCGTCAGCCGCACTGTCGTCTGCTCGAGAAATGCACGAGAAGGGGAAGGACTCAGTTAGAGCTGCGATCAAACGGTTTTTCTCGGCGCTGAAGAAGGAAAGATCAATGAGGGAAGTTTTGGGAGGAGGCAGAACAGCAGATCTGCTGTTGTGGACGAATGTGAAGAAAAGCGGTGCCACGCTTGGCGTTCTGACGGCGCTCTGGATTCTGGTAGAGTTTTGCGGCTTTACTATGATGACTATTACGTGCAAGTTCCTCATGGTTGCTGTAGGGGTGCTGTTTGTTTGGGCGAATTTCGCGTATCTGTTCAGGAGAGCGCCGCCGCCAGTTCCGAAGATTGAGCTGAAGGAGGAGAAGGTTCAAGAGGTAGCGGCAAAGATACGTGTTGTTGTAAACGAGTCGTTGCTGCTTTGTCGTGATGTGGCGTGCGGTAAGGAGTTTAAGCTCTTTGTGCGCGCGCTGTGGATTCTGTACTTCGCCTCGATGATTGGCTCTTGGTTCACGTTCATTTCGCTGAGTTACTTGCTCGTGTTGCTCGCATTCATCGTGCCGAAGGTGTACGAAACGTACGAGAGGGATGTCGATAAGGTCCGGATGGCGGCGATGGAGCAAACAATCAAGTATTATGAGGTGGCCGACAGGGCTGTAGTTGGGGCCGTAATCACTTCGGTGCCCGGTTTGAAGCAGAAGCCTCAGTAGCTTGAGTCCCTTTTCAGCATCTATTCTCCCCTTAATGGGAGAGACACAACGCTTTTGTGTCGGTCGATCTACCCACCATGCCCTATGTCTGTGTCTGTGTGTGTGTGTGTCAGAGGGAGAGAAAGAGAGCGAGCGAGCGAGCGAGCGAGCGAGAGAGAGAGAGAGAGAGAGAGAGAGAGGGGCGGAGTGGGAGAGAGACGGGAGTGACAAGATGTATCGATTTTAAAAATTCCGCTGTGTAAGTGGATTTTCATTAAGTAGATAGATAGCTTTAGTATGAGCGAGCTTATGCTCCGATGTCAGCGGGGAATGTGACTTCGCTGTTGTAGACTGCAGTTAGGGTTTGGTGTACAAGCATGTGGAGTGGGTATGCGGAAGAGGATGTTACTTGTCAATGTTCGCGGGTGCGCGCAGGCATCGCGTATCCTTACCTAAGGCCAGGTTTGAGATGGATCTGAAATTTGTGCTGTTCGCGTGTATGTTTCGAATGCGCACAAGAGATAAGAGAGCGAGCAAGCGGCAGTGGAGAAGAATGTCGCACGAGAAAGAGGGGAAGCAAGCTACAGAAGGGCGGGCTCGGGAGACCGAAGAGGGGGGCGCTATGGAGGGAAGAGGAGCCCGCGAAGAGAGAGAGAGAGAGAGAGAGAGAGAGAGAGATGTGGGATGTCAGAAGTAGAGCTGTTGTCTCGAGGAGTGCGTGTCTATTGATGCAATATAGCGAAGGAAATTGTGCGTCGGAGAGGAAGGGGACAGGGAGAAGAAGAGGGTAAGGAAGGGCAGGGCTCTGCACGGCCAGTTTAGTTTTGATTGAAGGAACACGGAATGGCTGATTCGTGACCATCTCTACCAGCTGGAGCAAGTGGCGGAAGGGTTCAACGTGATGATTGAACGTTTTTTACCTTTTTTTGCTCCGTGTTTTCGAAGGATGTATTGCTCAGGAGGGAGCAGGGTTATACGAAGTCACGCAGCGAAGAGCTGCGGGGAACGTATGGTTGTTCCTTTTCACACCTCACACCTCCTTCCGTTTCGTTTTTTTTTTTGCAAGTTTCTCTTTTTGGCTACTGACTCTTCTTGTGGCTTTTAGTTTTTTTTAACGTTTTCATTGGTGAATTACGAAAAGAGTCGAAAAGAGTCGAAAATATCGCCCGGTTGAGTTTGAGCGATCAAGTGGCGGTACTATTGTCCAATGGATTTTTATAGAATTACCCTGTCCCGACAGTAAATGCCTCCTGCAGTCCTTGGGTATGTTGTTCTCTTTGAGTCTGCTTTCCCCTCTCTCGTTCAGCCTGGTAGGTTATCAGGTACGCTCGATATTCCCGTCGTTTTCCGTTCTCCTTCCTTTCCCCCGAGACGGTAGCTTTATCTTGCAGGGCGATTTGTGGACACAATTGTGACAGGTCCGAATTTCGGTGAAGTAGTCTTCTTACAGGATGTCTTTCTTCAAAACTTTTCCCTGTGATCGTCTCAATGTTTTTTTTTTTTTTTTTTCTGTTCATTGATCACAACGTACTGATGTCGATGTTCCGTACGCTGCCTTTTCCAAATCAGTTGAAGATGCGAAATCTGTTCTCTGTCTAGCACACTTTTCCCTCTCCTGGAGAAGAGTAGATTTTCAGAGAGCGTGGGGCTGAAAGTTTGTCTTTCTTAATTCCACTTTTGTTGTGATGACGACAGCGCGTCTTAGTAGCCCTTGTCTTTCTTCCCGCCTTCCTTGAACTCGTCCCTGTTTTCTTGTAGAGCATGTCCCGGCCTGCTAGTCTGTCTAGAGAGCTTTCTTGTAAGTTATCCTTCTGGCAATATGTATGTGCGGAATCGAAATCTGAACGAGACGGAAAGGCCATGTGACGTTTCTTTTCCATTTTTGTTGTTTTTAATTTCTTGTACTTGAGGCTAACAGTGTGTTTTGGGCATGGAGGGGTTTTGTCATTGGATGTTGCATCTGTATGCGGAAAATTGGTGAAAATGTAGCTTTCGTCAGCGGTGTATGTGTGTGTATATATTGTCGAGGACTACTGTTGGCTGTATAAGGCATTTTTCCTTCTGATTACTGCTCAATCTCTTTGCTCTATTCTTGTTTTATCGTAAGGTTTTCCTCAATGAGCCATGTGTCTGTCAGCTAAACGATTCTGGCAATCGTATTGGTTCAGTAATGTCGGGACTCGGCAGCCGTTGCTCCAGGATGCATAATAGGGGCCCTATGTTTCTGTGTTCCAGGCTGCAGAATAAGGACCTTCACGCGGTGCTTCGGGCTGCATATTAGGGCACCTATGTGCGGTGCTCCGGGCTGCATAATAACGCGGTGCTTCAGGCTGCATATTGGGGCCCTATATGCGGTGCTCCAGGCTGCATAATAGGGGTTTATATTCGGTGCTCCAGGCTGCATAATAGGATATGCGGTGCTCTAGGCTGACTAATCGATCAATGCATACCGGGTTTCTTAGGCAGTTGTATTTCTGTACGAATCTGTATTCCAATCTGTCAGGAGCAAGATTTTGACGTCTTGTTTGGTTTTGCGATCCCAATTGTGTTCCCGGGTCGTAAATTACGGTCAGGAATAGAATGTAGTGACAGGATAGGCGAGAGTACGTTATGATTGTTCAGCATATCATACTTAAACTCACATTGTGATGGACTTCAGTCTCGTAAGATCGGTTTGGGAGTCGCATAGATACCATTTATCGGCATTTGAGTAAACGCCTAACAGTGACCTGGTGCATATGCAATGGAAGAATGCAACAGCTGCCTCTACTTTGTGGCAGCGGTACTCTCATCTACGTTCAGACACCGAGATGGGTTGGTCGATAGGGACCTATCGTAGATCGCAGTGTACGTGTGCGAAACGTCTATGTATGTACATAAGTACTTGTATGCTTGGCAATATGTATATTCATATATGTATGTTGTTTAGATGTACGTAACATGTGCTCATCTCTCGTTGGTAGGTTGAGTGACGATGTGTGCAAGATATGTATATATCTACATACAAAGATACAAATATATTTGCGCTTTGTGACAATATATATGCACACACACACACACACACACAGAGAGCCATGCAAGTTCGTAACGGGTTGACGTAGGAAGATGGAAGATACTGGTTGGTAGATAGACCTAAAAGCATTGAACTGCACCTTGTTTTTCGGCGTGTCAAGGTGTGCGTGTAAGCCAGGGAGGGAGAGGTCCATAGAGGGAGAGACATGGACGGCTTTGTGAATGGTCCTTCCCTTTATGTAGTAATCCATATCGAAGAATAGGTGTTTGGTTGGTCTCTGTGGTACAGCGGCACCTGTCGTACTCTGTGGATTCGTAGGCACATAGACTGATATATAATGGTGTTTCAGTTTTGGATAATTTACGAGGTTTTGGAGGGGTGGGAAACGTATGCGGTCGTGTTTTCCATTACTGTTCGTGACGCAGTTGTGGTGATCGACGGGGCTAGTTGGTTCACGAGGGGGTTTGGTTCACCGCGCGATCGGATCCAGGGTTCGTTTAGTAGGTTGAGTAATTACGCTAATGAATGTGTTGTTGGTCCTTAAGAGGGCGATTGAGATTGATTGATTTCATAGCACGGTATCGTTGGGTTGAAGGGGGCTGAATCGACTGATGGCTTGATTTATGGCTCTGGTTGTGGGGAATACTCGTATTCTGTCTTGTATTCGTTATCGCGCTCCCTTTTTCGTCCTCGTGTTTCCTTTTATCCCGCTTATTAATTGCCATTGAATATACCGATAGGCGTATTTAGTATGTGGCCGAGTATGATTTCGGTCTGCATCCTTATGGGCGGTGGTGGGAAGGGTAACCCCAATTTGGCAAGGGTCCGCGTTTGGAATGGATTCACATGGGCTGCATGCAGACTGGTATTGATTAGAGAGTCTTCAATTCCGAAGAATGCATCTGGCCGTGAAAGAAGGTTTGGGGGGCGTAATGGATGACAATTTGTGCATGTAAAGATGATGCGATGACGGACAATCGTGTTCTCGTTCCAGCTGGTGAAGGGAGAAGTGTTGGTTCTGCAGGACTCTGGGCACAGGGCGACCGGCGAGGTGGTGTTTTTCAACCTAGCAATGGGGGTGGTTGTGGAATCGAGACCTCGTCTAGAGCATCGTGCTCTCTCGTTCTTTTCATATGTGCCACATGTCGCACGCCAGACTCACATGCTCAGTCCTATGGATCGTTTATTGCGCAGTATCGTTCCCTCTCGATCAGTCATATGCCCATTGTAGTCATTCGCCTGCTTTTTTCCACCGAATTGAAGGGCCAGAGTATCATCTACGTGGACTTGTAGCGGAGCGCATGTTGATCACTTTCGTACCGATATTAACCGTGCGCTCTGCACGCACGGTTAATATCGCTGTATCTAGACCGATAGTTGTTCCGATTACGGCCATAATGACTGTGTTTTATTCGGGGAAAGGCGGTAGTTCTCATGGGTTCATAGCAGATTGCAGATCAATCACCGTCGTACCTTCGTATCTTCTTTATAGCAGAGTGGAGCTCACTGGACGGCCAGAACATAGGAAAGCATTTGGCGTTGGGGGGCATGCATTCGCGCTCTGGAAGGGGGAGAGACATGTATGGAATCGATGTTTGGGGTCATCTAGGACCTGTGCCCGTTTGAGGACGTTTGTGAGGAAGCCATGTATTGAGTTGATTTGGTCCTCTAGGACGTGTGCCCTCGAATACAACGTACGGTCATTATAGCTGTATTTGAAGCATCTTTCAGTCCAGATACAGCCATAATGACCGTACGTTGTATTCGGGGGAAGAAGGTAGGACGTGTGCCCCCTGGGACTGCTTGTTGGAAAACTGCCTTCTGCGGAAAACATCAATAACACCTTCTGCGTGAAAGGGGATCAGATCTTGCCAGAACGCATTTTAGGGCCAAGTGTCACTTACCCCAATTCGCAATTCGTGACCGTAGATTACCGAGATCGACGGCCAGAAGTGAGGAATCAGCATGAGTGGGACCTATCCCTGAGTACGTCCAGCCGACGTTTTGATATTCCATGTTCCCGTAAATCAGCGGACCTTCCTTTTTAGCACGGTGCTGCTATAATTTTGCTATCTGAGCATGAACCTACGGCGTCTTGGCCAGATCAGGTTTGTGGGTTCTGAGCGCCTCAGTGTGGCCTCAGTGTGGCCTGGTGGATAATAAACCTGACCGTCAACATTGCGTGTCCATCTCTGGGTCCAGTGAAGGATTTGCGCCCTCGTTAGGAGGGTCTGGCCTTGTCTTTTTCCCGGTCGTTTTCATGCCACCGGGGTCATAAGAAGGCCATCAGAACACGCCCTCGTGAGGACTTTTTCATTACTGCGGGGGTACCTTAGAGGGGCCAGATCCCACTGGCAAAGAGGGTTGGAACTTGGAAGAAATGTCTGAATCTGGACGTGTTTGTGGAGGTGCGAAAAATTGTGATTGATCTACTTTTCTGCACCTCTGCGTGGAGCACGTCCAGATTCAGACGTTTCTTCCAATCCTCTTTGCCAGTGGGATAAGGCCCTTACTTAGCACACTTCAGTTTTCTGGGGCCAGGGTCGGCTGACTCGGACTCTTCTGTTCTGACAATACCGTGGAGATACCAGGATTCAGGATGTGAAATGTAAGCGTTTGATTTGGGATGTAAACCAAGGTGTACCGTAAAAGAATATAATAACGTACAAACACAAGGGTGCTGTGAAATGGAAGGCTGGATTGGATGTCGGCCTGTGGAAACGCCCTATCAGTTGGTAAGGCATGCAAGTGACCTTCTTCGAAATGCACACTGAAAATGAACGTATGCAAGACATGTTTCCGGCCCGATACAGTCAAAATGCGGGTGCGTTGTGTTCGGGTGAAGATGGTAGCCTTAAAACAGCTGAACATAATGGACCGTGAAAGTGAACGTATGCAAAACATGTTTCCAGCCGGATACAATCAAAATGTGGGTGCGTTGTGTTCGGGGGAAGATGGTAGCGTTACCAGCTGAACATAACGCACCCTGAAAGTGAACGTCTGCAACACATGTTTCCGGCCCGATACAGTCAAAATGCGGGTGCGTTGTGTTCGGTGGAAGATGGTAGTGCTACCAGCTGAACCCTGGCTGGTAGTAGTCGGTCACGCACAACCGTAGCCTCCGTGGGGGCTGGTATGAGCTGCGAGAAGACTGCAAAGGCCACGTCCTGTCAGATCTGGCAGAGGATTGAATTACCTTGGCCCCTCTTAACTTGATGATTGTATCTCAAGGCCACTGCTTATTTTTCTTTCGTTTCTGAATCGCGCTGTCCATGTGCGTGAATGGTACACACATTAACTGTTTACCGAGGAGGTAAAAGAGGACCCGAAGGCAACGCTCTGGACGTGATTGCAGTCGGGTTCATCCAGGTAAGGCCGGAATTGCAGTGCAGATGCATTTTGGAAAATGATAGTGGGAGTCTGCGCAAACCTCTTGCTTGTGCTGGTTAATAAGATGGGCTGCGGTCAGGGTGTGGAGTGGGCCCCTGGGGGTGGACGGCAGCAGGAAAGGGGCCACATGAATTTACGTCCCCACGTCGGGGATATTTCTATCTCATTTCCTGCAACCAAAAATCACGTATGCAGGGTATGGACTTGGTGCTTTCAAAGTCATCGATTGAGTTATTTTTAGCCCTCTCAATCTGGTGGAATTCCACATGTTGTGCATGCGACCGAAAGTCACGTATGCAGGGCATGGACTTTGTGCATCAAAGTCGTGGATTGAGTTTGTAAACCCCACACTCGTCAATCTGGTGGAATTCCTCATCGATGACCGATGTTGAGGCATGGAGGTGATCACAGACCTTGCAATTGGGTAGGTAGATCTTTGATTCTT